CCACTCTGAGGAATGGATGGGGAGTGTGCTGGGAGAAAGGTGAAGAGAGTTGAAGGAGGGTAGGGAAAAGGAACTTGGATTGGTAGTTAAATGAGGAAGCATACTTTTTCAAAATTAATTAATTAATTAATTAAAATATAAAAGAATGTGGAGGGTGTGAGAAATTGTTTTTCTCAAGGAAAGTTTCACATATTGGTGTAGCAAATACCAAATATTTAGTCCCAGAAACTTACATTAAAACAACATTATACAGAATTAATTTATGTTTTTATAACTTTTGAAATACATATTATATACAAGTATGGTTGTCACAATCATTAATAAAGAAGGAAGACATAAATTTGGACGATATCATTATGTTCCCAATAGAATTTTATGTGTACCCATAATGAAGAATGGAATCATGTAAGTTGTCAACAGTAAATGAAACTAAAGATTATCATATGTAAAGAAGTACTCTAAACTTAAAAAGATAAAAATTATATTGTCTCTCTCATATGTATATACTAAAACATGCAAATATACATATTGTATATTTATAAATTTCATAGTATATTGTGAAAAGGAAGCAGGGTGTGATGTTATTCTTAGTTTTCAACTTGAATTCATCCAGAATTAATTATATTCCAAAAATAGAGAGCATACCAATGAGAGATTTTTTCCTTAATTTGAAACAGAAAGATATTCTTATGATGTTTGTCTTCAGTCAGTAACTGGCAAGACTTTAATCTGGATGTTGAGAAAGGAAGACACACTTTAATACCAGCCATATCTTCTGTAGTATGTGTATATGTGCATATATATACACAAATATGTATGTTTTTATGAATTTAAACAATAATTTATATATATATGTGTGCATGTGCCATATATATGTATATATAATAACTAATAAAACAAAAGAAGCCCATGAATTGAAAAGATTACCATACAAAAAGGAAATACAAAAATTGAAGCATTTGGATGAGAAAAGGTAAGTAGAAAATGGTATGATTATGCAATAATCTCAAAATAAAATTTTTTTCAGGTAATATTTTATCCTTCTTGGGCTTGTGTCTCTCAAAGATATTTATAACTAAATAGTTGCACCTTTTTGTCATCAAATTTAGAAGAGAAGGGTGCAAATGAGATGTAAAATTTATAAGGTTGAGAGAAATAAAAGTTTAAGTTCTTTATCTAAGAAACTATGCTAGTATAAAAGGATATTTTTAGGATGACAAAAGTTATGATAGAAAGTAGTTTAGGTATAAAACTTTGGACTCCCCAAGATAAGATAGATAATAGAATACTTTCTCCAAATTTTCAAATACTAAAGAACTTTAGACTTTNATACACAGACACACACAGACAGAGAGACAGCGACACAGGTCATCCTTGAATTCCCCAAGAATGCCCCCTTTATTGTGTTCAGGGGCAGATTATATAAAGATAGCTACGTCCCAGCCAAACCTACCAGAAAAACACTCTCCTGCCATCAGGAACTCCTGAAGGTCTCTTGCTCAGAGCAGCTGTAGGCACTCAGATCAGGGGATTACAAGAAATTCAGGATCTGGGGTCTCACTGCTCCCAACACATGAGCACAGGAGAATTCTCCATCATCTGATATCTTTGTCTGTTTCTTCAATGTCTTGAAGTTTTTATCTTAAATATTTCACTTATTTTGTTAGAAATACTCTAAAATGTGTTTGTTTGTTTGCTTGCTTGCTTGCTTGCTTGCTTGTATATTTTTTCGTTTGGTTAGGTTTTTTTTATTTTTGTTGCTCTTGTTGTCATTGTTTAAGAATATTGTGAAAGGATTTTTTCTTTAATTTCCTTCTGAGAACAATTCTCAATTGAACATAGAAAACCTGCTAATTTTTCTGTGTTAATTTTATAATCTGTCACTTTGCTGAAAGAGTGTTTCAGCTGTTGATGGTCCCGGTGTAGATTTTAGGGTTTTAATAATCATATCATCAACAAGTAAGGACTATTTTTAATTCTTCCTTTCCTATTTACCTTCCCTTTATTTCTTTTAGTTGCCTTATACCTTTAACTGATACTTCTAATATTATTTTTAAAAAATATGGAGAAAGTGGACATTCCTATCGTGTTCCTGATTTTAGTAGAAATACTTTGAGATTTTCTGTTTAGGTTGACTTTGTCTATGGGTTAATGCTAAGTCACTCTTATTATGTTGACCTCAGTTCCTAATATCCCTAGTCTATTTCAGGACATTGAGAGGAAGGAATGTGCTGTTTGGGAACAAGCCTTTACTAATGATAAGATAATTATGTCACTATCTTTTACTTTCTTTATATGGTGAATCAAATTATTTATATATGTATATTCAACAATACCTTCATCTCTGAAATGAAGCCTATTTTAACATTGTACATAATCTTTTGAAAGTGGTCCTGTATTTGGTTTGCAAGTATTTTATTGAGAATTTTTACATGATTGGTCATGAGGCAAATTGAAAAATAATTCTGTAGTACTTTCTCTCTGTCGCCCTCTCTCCTCCTTGTTTGGTTTTGTTTGTTTTTGAGACAGGGTTTCTCTGTGTAAAGGCACTGGTTGTCCTGGAACTTACTCTGAAGACCAGGCTGGTCTTGAATGTATAGAAATACATTGGATTGAAAACTTTTAATTACTACTTCTTTTCCACTATGATTCATAAGTTTATTTAAATCAGATTAAACTCTTGTAATCTGTATATATCAAAAGTTTATATCTGTCTATTTATTAGGTTTTCCAGTTTAGTTGGATGCATAGTTTTGCACTGTGCCCTTATTGTCATCAGACTTTCCTCAGTGTTTTTTGCTTATGCCATTTTCAAATCTACTTTTATTAAATTAGATTGTTTCTCTTCACCTTTTAGTATATTTAGTATATTTGTTAAAGGTTTATCAAGTGTATTGTTTTTCCCAATGAGTCAACTCTAACATTCCTTGTTTCTTTGCATTGTCTTGTTGTTTTGTTTCTATTTACTCATTTCAGCCTTCAGTTTGATTATTCTTTCCATCTTTACCTCCTGGATATTATTTTTTCCTTTTCTTCTAGAGCTTTCAGGTGTACCATTTAGTTAATGTGTGTTCTCTCTGTATCTCTTTCTCTTTACCACCCTTTCTTTTTCTCCCTTCCTTTTGTTTTGTAGGACAATGAGGTCTATGACCTAACTTCTTAGGAGGGACTTCATTGTAGGTCTTAGTTTTCATTCAGTAGAGCTTTGTTCAGTTTCCATGAGTTTTTAAACTTTCAAGAGTTTACTTAGGTGGTGGTATTTATCTTTAGTGAATGGCAATCAGATAGTTTGCAAGGTCTTCTTTAAAATTTCTTGCATCTGTTGAAAATGCTTTGTGTCCATGTATGTATTCAGTTTTAGAGAAAGGTTCACGAACTGCTCAGAATAAGGTAGATCATCAATGATTGTGTGAAATGATCAGAAAATATCTGCTATGCTAATTTGATTTATGTTGCTATATAATTATATAACTCATTCATTCCTCTGGTTTTTCTTTCTGGATAACCTGTCTTCAACAATATACTTCTTAAGATCGTATGTTATTTGGGAAAAACATGTACTCAGTGCCAGCATCCTGCCTCAAGTCCAGAGCCACTTAATGACTAGATAATGATTACACACAATTAGCACCAAATAACATGAGCCATTTTTATTCATTATCAGAGCTTGTTCTACCAGAATTCCATGAATACTTTTACTATTGGTTTCTATTACTGACTTCTAAGAAGTACATCATAGTCATCATAAAAACCACTTTTAGCCCCTACACACACAAACACATTTTCTCATCCCTTATATAACCTCAATGTAGGCATAGAGTCTTGCACTTTTGAGAGTTTAATTAACTACCTAGCCAAGCACATACTCTTCTTGCAGCACATATGTAAGCTGGCAGCTACTCGCAGTTTAAAAGTTAAAGGTTTAGACATGGGTACATTGCTCTAAGGACAAAAATATTTAAACTTCAGGAGTTCTTTTGTGTCTGTAGGAAAGGCTTTTATATATTTCCTGGCCTTCAAGGTGGTGCTATTCCTCTCATTCTTTCTATAAAAGACAAACTTTGTCAACACTCTTGTCCCATTCCACTGTATCTTTCTTCTTCCACCTACAAATTGCTCCTGTGTGTGGTAAAAATTGAATTATCCTTAAAGACTTTGCATTAGATTTTGTCCTCTTGTAGTATAACTTATCTTACCATTAATGCTTGGTATCTAGGGAACTTATTCTCATCAGTTGGTGCTGTGTAATTCCCCTTTTTATGTATTGATTACCTCAATCTCCTTCCCAGTACTGGAAGGTATGGTTACTGTTCCAGGTGTTGTTTCCTCACGTGAACCCATTATTTCCTGCAACTACCATTCTGAGTTCCTTTCTTCACGGTGTATTGCTATCTCCCTTTCTCTGAAAACAATTATGAGGCATATCCAGTTAATTTTTACTGCCTCTACTGAGTCAGGAAAGTTTCCAGAATAAGGCACTGCAGTTAATATTTCCAAATAAGAAAATTGAGAAGTATTAACCCCCTGATGAATCTTAGGGGAAAGCATTTGAGAAAGAATGGAGTTTCTAGGGAAAATTATAGCTGTTGCATGTGTGACTGCCAAAGTGAAACTAAAAATCACCAAATGATTCACCAATATAATGAAAGAGAAAAGTGCACACAAGCCTAGCAAATATGTCACTATTCTTCTATGTGCCCAGATCCACTGTTTCCTGACAAGTGACATACTATCTCCACTGGACTTCCTTTGCAGAGACACATAGGACTTGCTTATATATGCTGATCTGAGACCTGAATACACAGCTCCTGACACGCCATCTTTATTTATTTGCTTAAGCAATTGTCCTCTAACCCACCCATACAACTAAACACTCATCCAATAACTCAGCACTTACATTAGTCTCTTGTACTAGTTACAAGCATACTGTATCTCACACTCACTCACATACAAGGCATAGTTACCATTTTTGACATTTTTTTTCCCTACAGGAAAACGAATGTGTTTAGGGGAAGGTCTGGCCCGCATGGAGCTGTTTCTGTTCCTGACCACCATTTTACAGAACTTCAAGCTGAAATCTCTGGTTCCCCCGAAAGATATCAATGATACCCCACAAGTCAATGTAATTTCTGTATCACCTCCCCCTTTCCAGCTCTGCTTCATTCCTGTCTAATGAAGATCAGATGCCTGGTTCCTGCTGTGTTCTTCTCTGAAATCACTCTCAAAGCTTGTATTTAACACTTTCCCGGAAGGCATGTGGAATCCTTCCACATTCTCACAGCTTCTGTTCTCTAATTTCCCACGGACATCATCCGGTCTCCATTTTACAGTCTCTGAAGTAATCGTCAAAGATATTTGCCATTTCGTATTTTCCATAGCCCTGTTACTATCCTTTGTACTCACATGTAGCTAAAGCTGTAGTTAACATGGCACCCACATAAAATGAATAATGTCCAACTATATAATAATTCACAATCATGTTTCTGGCTCTTGTATGTCCTTGACAATAACATATTAAATTTGTATTTCTGATTTCAACAGACTTTCCATCAGTTTTAATAAGAGGTGAAAGAAAAAGGAGTTCCCAAAGGTCCTGGTAGACTGTATAACAAGAAATTTTCAGAATGTAAAGTGGGAATACTGTTGAGATGGCTCAGACAGCAATGTTCTTGTCATACAGGGCTCAAGTACATACGTTTATATTCAAAACAAAACCTAAAGGTCAGACCTGGTGGTGATTACTATTTATACCACAGTGGGAGACTGCGTCTAAAGCATCCCTGGATTGCGCCAACTCACCTAGTATAATTGCCAAGCCCTGTGTCACACTGGGATCCCCTGTAACAACACCAAAGACTGAACGCAGACCTCCACATGATCATGCAGGTGCACACACTTACACACACAGCACACAAAGAGGCAAATGCTCACTATTGTACAAGCAGTCGGTTATCATGTACACACCCAGGCCTATACTCTTCCCCGGAACTCATATGCAAAAGAAATTGTTGAAGAGGATGGTGTGAGAAAGCTCTTTAGCTGGGGATCTTCTACAGTTACTGGAGGCACTTGCACAGCACACTGGTGATGCTGAATACAATAATGATAATATTCTAGGCCTATAGCCTAAGTTGTATGCCCCAATGTTACCTAGAAACATTTGTTGTCTGTCCACACGGCCTGCACTTTCTGTTATTTCTTACTTTTTTTTTTTTTTTTTTTTTTTGGAAGTCACTTGCTTAGACCTCCTGCCTATTCAGGTAATACTATTTTCCTTCTCAGGGCTTTTATGGGGTTGAAGACTAGATAGTTATAATCCTTTTGTACCTTAGCTAAAGGCATATTAGGTACAAGACTTGGACTCTTCCGAATAGGACAGCTATTGGATTATTTAGAATGTGTTTCTTGTTTGATGTTATTCTTGTTCACTGTAGTTTCACTTTTGCTCATTTTTGTTCTTTCATCTGGATAATACTTGATAATTCTTACTGCATATGTTGAATTAGAACCCTCTTAATTAGCAAAAAAAAAAAAAAGGAGACATGTATTAGAGCTTGATCTGTTTGGCCAATGTCTTTTGGGATGATTTGCCATGGGCATGGTTTTCTATGCAGATGTGATGGGATAAAATGCGGGAGAAAGGTTGTGCATGCCCTCTTGGGTGTATAGAGCTGGAGCATGCCTTATGGTTCGTCCTCATTACCCTTGGAAGAATGACAAGACAGTGAAAGCTGGATCAGCCCACTCCATCTACATTGTTCTGATAAGTGGATATTAGATACAATCCACATCCTGGAGAAGCTAGGTAACAAGGAGGACCCTAAAAGAGACACATGGGCTGTCTTAGGAAGAAGAAGTAGATGAGATTTTCTGGGTAAACTCAGGGATGAATGGAAGCTGGGAACATGAGGAAATGAGATGTGTGATTTGGAGGAGGGACAGAGAGGAAGAACAATGAAGGAGATAGCTGCACACCTTGCAGAATGAGATTGGATATTTATTAAGTGGGTTATGGAAGGGAAGGGGAGAAGGGGAAAGAGCAGAGAGAGGACAGAGAGAGAGAAAAAGAGAAGGAAGAAGAGGAGAAGTGGGGAGAGACAGAAACAGCCTTTTTAAGCGCGAGACCAAAAAGAAGGGAATAAGGCTGGAAGCTAAAGATCAGCTTATTTTAGTGGACTGAGAGGGAGTGGGCATGGTTTGTCTCTTAAAAGGACAGAGCAACCATTAAACCTCCCACATCAAATAATAATGTTTATTATTCTTGCATGTGAAATAATGCATTTTATTTAATTCTATATGTAAAACATTGTTATGTGTCACATATAATCAACATCTGTTATTCATTATCTCATATATTCTTCCTTTGTATTTCACTATGAGAAAAAAATTTAGAACTTTAAAAAATATTTTTGATACTTGGCGTTTTTATAACAAAATATTCAAAACAGTACAAACTGTAAACAAACAAACAAAAATAAGGTACTCAGATCTCTTACAATCCTCAAATGTTTTGGTCCAAACTGGTGATTTGTTTTGTTCCAGCAACAGAATGTTTAACTATGAATGTAGGCAACTTTCAATTGGTATGTTCATTTCCTTCTATCATGTTAATGCAGTCTTTTGTCTTAATCCTACCTTTTTGGTTCAGGAGTATTTTAGGCAGTTGGAAATTAAACATGGGTGACTCTTCAATACTCACTGAAATTCATTCCTGATACTTACAAAAAAAAAGAAAGAAAGAAAAAGAAAGGAAATTAAGGCAGCAGTATCATGGACCTAAGTACTTAGGAACAGCTTGGGCTTCTAACAATCAAGAATAAACAAAGGAATAGGCATAATTAGTTGAATCTTAGTAATACCCTGTCACTCTAGTGTTAGATCCCTGTCAACTCATTATGATAAATTAGTGAACAAATATATTGTTCTTGGGAATCTGGTATTATTAGTGGAGATTCGTCAATTATTCAATTTTATGATTTGAAATTTTTCTGATACTCTTTTAGTCCTGACTTTGATTTGTTTTGATTTGTGCCCCTGCTTCCATATCTAAATGTAATAAAAAGCAATATACAGCAAGCTGACAACCAACATCAAATTAAATGGAGAAAATTTCAAAGCAATTTCTCTAAAATCAGGAACAAGACAAGCCTATTAATTCTCTCCATATCTCTTCAACATAGTTCTTCAAGCTCTGGCTATAGCAGTAAGACAACAAAAGGAGACCAAGGGGCTTTGAATTGGAAAGGAAGAAGTCAAAACTTTATTATTTGTAGATGATATAAGTGTGTGTGTGTGTGTGTGTGTGTGTGTGTGTGTGTGTGTGTGACCTCAAAAACTCTACCAGGAAATTCCTACAGTTGATAAATACATTCAGTAATGTGGCAGGATACAAGAGCAACTCAAAAAAAATCAGTAGCCCTCCTATATACAAATGATCAAGGGGCTGAGAGGGAAATCAGAGAAACATCACTTTTCATAATAGCCACAAATAACATAAAATATCGTGAGGCAACAAAAACCAAAAAAGTTAAAGACCTATTTCACAAAAATTTTAAGTCTTTGGAAAAAGAAATTGAAGAAAATATCAAAAATGGAAAGATTCTGCTTGTTCTTGAATGGATAAGATCTCCATAATAAAAAAAAAAAGCAATCATACCAAAATCTATCTCTACATTCAATGCAATACCCCATCAAAATCCCACGACAATTCTTTACGGACCTTGAAAGAACAATACTCAACTTCATAATGAAAAACAAAAATCCCAGAATAGCCAAAACAATCCTATACAATAAAGGAACTTCTGGAGGCATCACAATTCCTGACATCAAGCTCAATTACATAGCTACAGTAGTGGAAAATAGTTTGGTATTGGCTTAAAAACAGAGAGGTTGACCAATGGAACCAAACTGAAGACACAGATATTAATCCAAACACCTATGAACACCTGATTTTTGACAAAGAAGCTAAAATTATACAATGGGGAAAAAAAGCATTTTCAATAAATGGTGCTTTCATAACTGGATGTCAACCTGTAGAAGAATGAAAATATGTTCATATCTATCCCCATGTACAACTCAAGCCCAAATGGATTAAAGACATTAATATCAATCTGACTGCACTAAACCTGATAGAAGAGAAAGTGAGAAGTAGCCTTCAGTGCATGGGCACAGGAGGCCATGTTCTAAATATAAACGAGAGAGAGAGAGAGAGAGAGAGAGAGAGAGAGAGAGAGAGAGGTATAAAGCCCCAAGACAAAACATGGATGAAGAGAAACAGAATAAAATGAGAGCAAAAACAATGTTGAGTATTCATAACTTATAAGAAGTCTCAGTGTCATGATTTGGGAGCTAGTAGGTAGTCTAAAAGAAAGTTTGCTGCAGATGAGCATCTCCTGTTCTTACCTATCTCTTTTAATTAAGTTAGGCATGAGGTCTAATTAGTTCCAGCTTACACTGGTAACAAGAGATTTCTTATTAGGTCCATTGGTTTGGAATACCTTTTCCAAGCCTGTACCTTGAAGATATGTCTGTGAATGCCCCTGATGTTGAGGAATATTTCTTGGATGCAAAAGAAAAATGGGTCCTCTTTTTGTATCCATTTTGTATCAACCAAAACAAACAAACAAACAAAAGACAACAACAACAACAAAACACGTGTGGTTTCAAAACATCAGCACAAACAGCTCTGACTCTTTCAGGAGGCCTAGCACTTGAATGGAGTTTGTGGGCACGAATGCTTGTGTGCCTACTAGGGGTTACGAGGAAAGTAGCTGAGACTATGCCCATGGCTCAGCGCTCCCAGCCTGAGCAGGCAGCAGATTGTGTCTAGTGGGCATGCACAATAAGCAGGAGCGCTTGGCAGATTCCTGTTGCCATACAGAGGTATTTCCAGACCACACAGTTTGCTGCATGGCAGATTTAGCTTTTGCTCAGATAAAAAGTGTTTATATGCTGCACGGTGCTATCCAGTGTTGAAGTGGTGAGGATGGCTCCCACTCAGAGGTCCTAGAGCCTGTGGTGAACTATCTCCACCATATTTTAAACCTGAGAGAGGTGAGACAGCACCCAGGGCTGGTGAGACCAAGATGCTTAGCATTTTAAAAAGCGCTTCTGGACAGTCTTTTCTATTTATACACAATAGAAAAGACTAAGACATAAAAGACCTCTAAATGAGAAACAGTATGTTTAAAATATATGCATAGGATTGAGAGAGAGAAGAAAAAGAGTATAGAGAGTTGGAAAAGAAGTAAATCATTTAAAAAATGAAACAAAGTCATTAAAAAGACAGAGTACAGACAGCCGTTTTTGTTTGGTTCTCATTAATTCAGCAACTTCAGATTGGGATCCAAGCTTCCTTGGTGACCAGTTTATGTTGTTTGATCCTATAATGACTTATGGGTATAGTCTGTTTCTCTGATCAAGTCTAATGTGTCCAATGTGTCCAAGGCTGGGCTGTTATATTAATTTGTTCTTATATGTTGTCCTAATAGTCAGGGTGGAGACCAATCCCAAGTGGACATGTGTTATCTTCAAGTGAGAGGTCTCAGGGTTGTCAAGAGGCAACAATGGCCATAAGAGGAGTAGAGCCCTAGGACAGATTCTATTTACTCGGGGAAACAGGAATTAAAGGTTTTATGGTACCCAACCAACATGATGCCACACTGAGCCCTGGCTTAGGCAGGTTATAATGGTCAAGGTTGAAAGTTTATTTTTGGTTGTGAACCTAGCCTTTAATAACTTAGCTCTCTTTCTCCAGTGCTAAATATAGCACCAGAGCACAGACACTTAGAGTGATTATTAATAAATGAGACCCCCTAAAACTGAAAAGCTCCCATAAGGCAAAGGACATGGTCAAAAAGACAAAACGCTAGCCTACAGAATCAGAAAAAAAAATCCTCACAAACCCCACATCTGACAGAGGATTGATCTCCAAAATATATCAAGAATTCAAGAAACTAGACATCAAAATACCAAATAATCCAATTAAAAGATAGAGTGCAGATCTAAACAGAGAATTCTCAACAAAAGAATCTCAAATGGCTGAAAGACATTTAAGAAATTGCTTAACATCCTAGGTCATCAGGGAAACGCAAATCAAAATGACTCTGAGATACCATCTTACACCTGTCAAAATGGCTCAAATCAAAAACACTGATGACAGCTTATGTTGGAGAGGATGTGATACAAAGGGACACTCCTCCACTGTTAGTGGGAGTGCAAGCTTGTTCCGTCATTTTGGAAATCAATATAGTGGTTTCTAAGAAAATTGAAAAGCAATCTACCTCAAGACCCAGCATTACCACTCTTGGGCATAGAATAGACTCAAAACATGCCCAATCATACCACAGAGACCCTTGCACAACCGTGTTCATAGCAGCTTTATTCATAACAGACAGAACATGGAAACAACCTAGATGCCCCTCAACCAAGGAATGGATGAAGAAAATGTGGTGGCACAGCACAGCCCAAGAGGAGAGTGACCAACTCCCCAGCTGGACAACCTAATCTCTAGGCCCTACTTAGGTCCTGGGTGAAAACCTTGGGCACCACCCACCTGCCTCTGGTTCCCTAGCCAGCCAGCAAGCAAGTCTTTGGCAGGTAGGCTGTTCCACTCACCCCTATCAATTGGACCCTGTAAGCTACAAGTTCCACTCCACCCCCAAACCACCCATCACACGCAACCTCAGAGGAACTCTGATGTACAGATTGTGACTGCACACACCAGACCAAGAGCTGAGTGATCAGCTCTGGAGCAGGGCAGCCCAGTCACTAGGCCCTAGGTCCTGGGGCACAAGTGCAGGCTCCTCCCCCGTCTAACTAATCTTCACTAATCAGGTAGCAGGCAAGCCAGAACCTGGAAACAACCTAAATTTCCTCCGCCGAAGAATGGATAAAGAAAATATGGTACATTTACACAGGGTACTACTTGACAGGGGAGGGAAAAACAATGACATCTTGAAATTTGCAGGCAAATGGATGGAACTAGAATAAAAACATTCTGAGTGAAGTAACCCAGACCCAGAAAGACAAACATCATATGTACTCACTCATAAGTGAATATTAGACATAAGGCAATGAATAATGAGCCTATAATCAGCAACCCCAGAGAAGCTAAGTAACAGAGAGAACCCTAAGAAAAACATAAATGAATTCCCTGGGAAGGAGAAATAGACAAGATCTCCTGAGGAAATTGAGATCAGGGGGGTGGGGAAAGAAGGGACTGTGGAAGGGGAGGAGGGGAAATGGGGAGGTGGAGAAGAACTTGAGGGAACAGGATGGTCAAAATAGGGAAAGGACAGAGATGGAGAGCAAAGAAAGAGATAACTTGATTGAGGGAGCCATTATGAGGATAGCAAGAAACCTAGCACTAGGGAGATTCTGAGGAATCCACAAGGATGACCTCAGCTAAGACCTTAAACAAGTGTGGAGAGGGTGCCTGAACTGGCCTTGCCCTGTAGTCAGATTGATTACTACCTCAATTGTCATCATAGAATCTTCATCCAGCAACTGATGAAAACAGATGGGGAGCACTGGGCTGAGCTCCCAAAGTCCAATTGAAGAGAGGGAGGAGCAATAATATGAGCAAAGGGGTCAAGACCATGATGGGATACCCACTGAAACAGCTTTCCTGAGCTAATGGGAGCTCATTGACTCTGGTCTGACAGTGGGGAACCAGCATAGGACCAAACTAGGCCCTCTGAATGTGGGTGACAGTTGTATGGCTGGGGCAGACTGTGAGGCTACTGACAGCGAGATCAGGACTTATCCCTATTGCTTGTACTAGCATTTTGGAACCCATTCTCTTTGGAGGGATACCTTGCTCAGCCTAGATAGAGTGGGTAAGGCCGTGGTAGTCCTGTCTCAAAGCGATGTGCTAGACTTTATTGATTTCCCATGGGAAACCTTACCCTCTTTGAGGGGATGGAGGTTGTGTTGGGGTGGGAGGAAAGTGGGGGGAGTGGGAGGAAGGCAGGGAGTGGGAACTGGGATTGGTATGCAAAATGAGAAAAGATAGGTTTTTGGGTTTTTTTTTTAAAGCTAAGTCTGCCATGCAGCGTACTGTTTATTGCGGCGGGAATCTGCCATGCTCCCCTGCCTCTGCACTCCTAGCAGATTTGATCCACCTGCCTGCTCAGGCAGCAAGTGCTGAACTGGGGTTGCTTTTCTCAAACACTTTTCTCCTAACAACATAGAGCCAGCAGGTGGTGCTGCAGGGCTGAGAATGAGGGCTGCTGCAGCACACAGCTCCTCCCGGGCTCCCAACTCTAGTCTCCTTCAAACTAGTTTCTACCATTTGCACTTTCTCTTATTTCCTGGTGGTTTTCCTGTTGACCGAGTGAGCTATGGGAAGAGGATATCTTATATTTGAGACCCCAGCCTTTGCTGTGTTGGTCCCTTCTGTGGTCAGTTAGCCTCTCCACCCTGTCCATGAGTGCAGAGGTGCTGCTCTTTCCTTGCAGACAACCCCCTTCAGTCATAAAGTGAGGGAGTCTGTTTGCTATGCTTGGGGCAGAATGCCTGAAGCAGCTGCTCACTCTGGCCCTTCTGAGATGCCTTCATGTCGGGCTGAGGTTGGGTGAGGTGAAGAGATTGCCTTTGATGGAAAGCTAAAGGGGCCATTGTGGTGGCACACACCTTTAATCCCAGCGCTTGGGAGGCAGAGGCAGGTGGAGTTCTGAGACTTCTACATAGTGAGTTCCA